ATCCAAATTCAGAACATATTTTTGCTTTGTATTTTTAATATAAACTAGTTTTGATACCTAATTTTGCGTGCTTCTATCTACTTCTCTAAATAATAATATTTAGATAAAAGCGTACAAAATTTGTTCCAAAATCTCTGTATTATACCTAAATAGTGAAGTTCGTCCTTTCAACTCCAATTCCATTAAGATAAATTTGGCCAAATTTATACATCTATAAGAATTATTCAATTCTACAGATATTTGATAGTATTTGGATGCCTTATTCAAAAGTATTTCCATAACCAAGCATTAGTATTCCCTTAAAATTTCCCATATCTGCTAATTTTTTACAATTAGTAAAACTCAATTAACCTAATGCGCTAGTGATTATAGGTTGCTACCAATAGAAATCAGGTCAAACAGATTTATTAAATAAATCTGCTTAGCACCAACTCATATTCTAGAAATAAAGTAAAAAAAAACTCGGAGAAGGAAAAACAAACAAAAAATTAGGTTAAACAAATAAAAATATTAGAATGTTAATTCTCTAATACTTAACTATTCAAAAAAAAAATCTACAAATATATAAATCGGTAAGATAATACATTATATGATTTCCAAATTAGTTATATATATGCATTTTTTTTCTTAACAAGCCAATTACTAAATAAGATAAATCAACTCCAAAGAGTCTAAACTAGAGTTTTGCTAAGTGCTAGAACAGTATTATATTAAAACATAGTGCTTATACCACTTGCAAAACCTACCTACTCGCCTCTAATTATTTTCTTTATTATGCTGATCACTTTTTTCAGAACAATTTCTTGAATCATGATACCAAGACTTACACTGAGCACATTGTCTTTTATTTTTCTTCTTTTCTTTTGAAGGTTGATTTTCAATAGCTGACAAGTATCTTTTATTTGTAGGTCGGCCTTTCCCTTTGTGCTGAATCAGATCTGTGATATTATTAATGTTATTAGAATCTTCGGAAGATTCTGTAGACATTTTATTTTGCTTTTTAATAAATTGTTGTAAAAGCTCTTCAAAAGCTTCGCTAGAATTGTTTAAGATCGCCAAATTTAAAGCCTTTTTGCATAGCCCAATACTACGGCCATATATTTCTTTTTTTGAATCTAAATTTATAAAAGATTCATCGAATATTTCTTGCCCACGAATATTATTTAATGTTTGAAACATGCCGGTTTGAAATTCAGTTTCAACTTGAATTAGTGTAATTGATTTTTCTTGAACTTCTTCTCTTAAC